GAGTATATATTAATAAATGTTATGATAATATGTCTGGTAACTGCCTGACATTTGTTATTTCTAGGGTACTGCCATTTTGGTATAGATTTTAATGAATTTAAAAGGTTTCAAGGCTTCAGTGGGCTAACCTACACAGATTTCTCAATTATGTTTTTAAGAATTTTAATTTAAGAAAAATTAGTTTAAATCAAACACCCTCATAATAATAACACCCAGTCTGCCATGGAAGATTGTCTCTTCAGTGGGAGAAGAGGGATGTTTTTCATTTCCTCTGACACTGGAGTAGTCTAGGAAACTGTCAGAGAGATTCCACATCCTCATCAATATTCATATCAGTACTCAGGAAATATTCAGCAATTTTGCAATTATTTAAATTCAGTAGCCATTAAATGCTGGGTAAAATTGAAATCGTAAGGCATGTTAGTTGGGTATACAGTCACCTCATGGAAATATATTCAATCTTGAAGAAATCATTCCTAAACTAGCAAACAAAACAGCTAACTTGGAAAACAATGAAACTTTGGTCAGAACAACCTTTAAAAGGCCAAATTATAAGATTAACACCGCCCTAGTCTTTAAATACAATAGTTTAACATTAGACTTCCAAGTTCCCAAGGATATTATTAGCAGGATTATTTAACAAACTGAAACTTAAGTTACAAGTGAAATAATGAAAATAATGAAATCAAGGAGCTCAACTTGTTTCCTGTAGATGTCTTTGCATGAACAGCCTTGCCCATAGCAGCAAAAGAGGACTGAATAAGAACCACATTAGTGCCTTCTAATTTTGGCTCACAAGTCTTAAACTAGCAGATTTCAGACACGATTTTGTTATGAACTCCTTGAACTTCCACCAAAGTTTCCTAAATGTCTAGCTGGATGTTAGGCTTTCAAAGATTAAATAGACTTAAAATAGACTTGATTATTTCTTAATAATTACAGATGGGCCTCAGTTGTTTTGGGATCTGAAAGTATAATGTCCTCTTAAATTTATAAAAGCTATTCTAGGGATCCATTTTCTTATGATGAGAACAAAAAAGATCACAGAGTTTCCTGAAATATTTTTGATGTAGTAATTTTAATAAAATTTCTGTTTGATTTAGTCTTATGTGAGGTAATACACTCATAAATTTTTTGTTGTTGTTTTTCTGTCCTTGAGATTATTTTTTTTTAATAAAAAAACCCTTTTCATTGATACGCAGTATTTGTACATTTTTATGGGGTACACGTGACATTTTATTACATGTATAAATTGTGTAATAATGAAGTCAGAGTGTTTAGGGTATCCATCACCTCGATCATTTATCATTTCTATGTGTTGGGAACATTTCAAGTCCTCTCTTCTAGCAATTTTGAAACATGCAATTGTTGTTAACTACTATCAAATATTGGAACTTATTCCTTCTATCTAAGTATATTTTTACCCATTGACCAAACTCTTCGTCTCCACCCCCGTAATCTTTTCCAACCTATGGTCACTGTCATTCTACTTCATGAGATCAAATTTTTTGGCTTCCACATATTAGTAAGAATGTGAGATATTTGTCTTTCTCTGCCTGGCTTATTTCACTTAATATAATGATCTCCCTTTCAGTCCATATTGCTGCAAATGATAGGATTTCCTTGCCAAGTAGTATTCCATTGTACATATATACCACATTTTCTTTACTGATTCTTCTGTTGATGACACTTAGGTTGATTCCATATCTTTGCTATTGTGAACAGTGTTGCAATAAACATGGAGGCGCAGGTATCTCTTTGATGTATTGACCGCCTTTCCTTTGGATAAATACCCAGTAGTGGGATTGCTGGATCTTCTGTAGTTCTATTTTTAGTTTTTTGAAAAATTTCCATACTGTCTTTCACAATGGCTATACTAATTTACATTCTCAACAACAGTGCGTATGAGTTTCCTATTCTCTGCATCCTAGCCAGCAACTGTTATTTTTTGTCTTTTTCATAGCCGCTTATAAAATTTTTATTTGAGGAAACTAGAAAAATATAGATATTTTCATTCCATATAAAAACAACATTCACATCTCTAACCATCAGGGAAATGCAAATTAAAACCACAATGAAATATCACTTATCTCCAGTGAGACTGGAGATAAGTCCCAAAACAATAAATGTTGGCATGGATGCGGAGAGATAGGAACACTCATGCACTGTTGGTGGGACTGCAAACTAGTGCAACCTCTGTGGAAAGCAATATGGAGATACCTTAAAGAGATACAAGTAGAAGTACCATTGGATCCAGCAATCC